TCTGTGGGATGGGTGACCTCTCTTTTTGCTGCACATGAGGTCAGCGGTGGGAAGAAAGATAGAAGGAGAAAGAAAGAAGGAAGGAGAAGAGGAAGATACACCAAAGTAAGTGTTGCACACGGATCCCAGAGTGTTGGGGTCCGTGTGCGACACTTCGTCTTTGAGGGGGTTGCACCTTCTGCAGACGAAGCAGTGGGTTTATTTATATCCCCCCGACCCACTGGGGGTAAGATAGTTGCTGTTTCTTCCTCACTTTACAAACACTGTGCATGGGATATGATCGCTGCTATAGTTGTGTAATACTCTCCATGTACAGTCTGTTGATAGGTCTACCGAGACGAGTGCAAGGTCTATAGCACTGTCGGAGTCCCCATCTCTTGTGGCTAGTCTGGTCATGTTGCCATTATTGATGCAGGTGAGGTCACATCTGTCCAGGGCATTTTCCAGTCTCGTCCCTTGGGGGTTTACCACTGTGTTTCCCCAATCACTTCCTCGCGTGTTGAGGTTACCACAAAAGATCGTTTTTCCAGGTAGTGTTTCCTCCATCTCGCCAAGTTTGGCCCACTCTTCCTCTGTGACTATCCCGTTGCATGCGTAGACGTTGACAACATTTCTTACAGGCTGATCAGTGAGCTCCACTGCAAGCAGGTGTAGGTTTTCTGACGCCCATCGGCTTGTATCCAATTCCTGATGTCTGATTGCTGACCGTATCAGGGTGACCTGTCCATGCCCTTCCCTGTTGTAAAGAGTCGTTGCAAAGTCGGCAACATTGAAGCTCCTGTCACCTAGTCTGGTTTCTTGGAGGCATATGATGTCTGCTCCGTAACATAGGGTTTCAGCCACGAGCCCTCTCTGCTGCAGACTACGACAATTCTAGTAGAGAATCCTACGATTACTCTTTCCAAACCGCTGATTCTTTAACTGTGTCTTTCTAGCTCCCGTCCTTCTCTTTCTCCACCTCCCACCCCTTTTTCCCCCGTTTCCTTTTTGGTTTTTATTCCTGAAGAGGGGCTCGAGCAAGGAGCACGAATACCGTAGCTCCTGCAAGAACCCTGTTTATTAATATTAATTAGATCTTTGATTGTGGGTTTGCAAAGTACAGAGGAAGTATCCTGTCCATCTAGCAGAGCCTCATACTAGACAAGGGGCTGGGAACCAGAAGGTCCGTCCGCCTGGTGCCGCCCCGCTCGAACGCCAGACGGTCCTCGTTCGTGACTGTACTTCCCACAGCCATGCAGCTTCTAGGCACGAATAGGACACCGTAAGCTTGGGTCCATGTCCTCCACGGATACTTGGGGGTGCTGTCGACAGGTCGTGCTCCTGGATTCCACCCTGGATCTCCTTAGGCTTCGGGATTTTTAAAAATCAAGGTTGTCTCCTTTAGATCATTCATATTCTGTTCCTGGACTGCGATGTCTAGGGTCACCTCGAGAAGGGGAAACAGCTTCAGAGTCCTCCACCACCCGAGTACCATAACTTCTGACACCCTCAGTCTCCCGGCCGACCAACAAAAACGTCTGTCCAATTCTAAGGTACCGCCAAGGAGATTAAAAGTTCTAAACTCCTTGGGTACCGCCCTACCAAATATGGACAACTACACAGGTGGCCACATTCCAGCCTGAGCCATCCTCGCTCACACAACACTTCCTTCCTCTTTTTTGCAACTCTTTCCACTACAAAGGTTGGTCAAATGTTATAACATATCATTGGTGTTTTATTGTGTTATTTTGCATGGAGATCACAATCGTGCCGATTAAAATAGAGACTACGCAATGCGAGGAACCAAAGAACAACAAATTCATTATCTATTCCAGACTGTAGGCCAATCTGAAATTACACACACACACACACACACACACACACACACACACACACACACACACACCAACGCAGGTACGCAGGTACATACAAAGAATACAGTGCCGAAAGCTGTCGGTGAAGGAACGACTGAGATATCTAGATGTAGACTCAAGTCATTTCTACATATACTTAAATTATATAGATTTTAGATCTAGATCTAAGTAGATCTATTGCTTTACTAAAATAAGTATATTTTCATAGAAACTCTCTTTTGTTCTTTAACCATAATGGGATTCCATACTTTAGTGCACATGTCTGTGTGTTAGCACAGGCGTCTGTGTGTTTTTGTTGCTTTGAAAACGTACATGTGGTAACAAAGCCATTCTTTCGACATAATTTATTTCTATAACTGATATCAAAGTTACATATAGCATAAAATGGCAAACCTGGCTTTAAACTTATGCGAAAATGCGTCAATAAATTATTAGCATTAAGTGTGTCACAGGAACAAATGTGTCAAGGTTTTCAGGAAAAATGCATCACTGTCTGTGGAATGCCCGGATGTAAACAAGCAAAAACGTCTCGTTAAGGAAACCCGCGAGGGTTAGAACAGAAATTGGTCGCTAGAAAAAGACCAATATCTCAGAAAAGCCACATTCTTCACAGGTATTATTTATGGTGGGTGAACACCCTTTTCTACACTTCACGTCGGAATTGTTTCTGTTGCAAATAGTGACGGGTTATTTCGTCTGGACAGTAGATTATCGGTCTTTTTGGGAGCCAGCCGTTGCCAGGTGGTCTCACGTCACATAAACAGTGTGTCTGCTCATGTTGAACCTTCTTGCGCCTGACGAAAGCGGAATGCCCACCTGAAGTATATGTCGGTGATGCGATTTCTTTCTGATTCATTCTGTCGAAGCATGGTGAAGCCAATTTTTGATGTGGCAAAACATTTGGAAAAAGTCCCAACTGCATGTCTGTAGTTTGGGTTTTCCAAGATGGCTCACACATTTTAACAAACATGAAAACCTTTTGAATAACATAGACAAAACGATAGGCTAGTGCACCTTAGTGAGTACAATGTGCTGGCGTTGTTCACACAATTCTCACGCAATAGTTTACAGTATAACATGACTAGGGGCGAAAACACAGAGAACGCCGAAACTAATGCGGCTGAAGATCGACGCGGAAGTTGCCAGTAGGTGTCTGCTTGACTCCACATACAAGGCGCATAAAGCCTAGATCTAGATATAAGGAAAAAATTACACCACAACTCAGCTTGTATTTATGAAGCATTTATTGGGGGATTAAAAAAATTCGAAATTCCTAAAATATTGCTTAAAATGTAATTCTGCTCGTTTGCCACCCTAATTTGACGACGCTGATTTCAAAAACGTAATTAGTTTTTGTCTGCCGTGAAGCACCAGCTCTGAAATGGCCATTTAAAACTGTCCCCTGTCCAGTCGGGTGACGTCACGCAAACAGGCGGCTAGAGTGATGTGGCTAGACGCTCATTATGAGAGCGAATAGGCCATAGGCCTTGCCTAGGCCAAAATGTAAAAGAAAAGGTGAGCGTGTTGTGTGTGATTCCCGATTAATTGCGATCGTTGGTGCTCATGCCGAGTTCTTTATTCGATGCAACCCTGGAACTCCATGAGAATGTACAAGACCCTCCTGTTAAGATATTATACCAATTGAATGAAGTCAGCTCCCAACTAATTGAGTGGCATGGGCCATGCCACCCTCTCGTCAAAAAGGAAAACCAGGGCCAAAAAGAGGTGTGTTGGCAAGGGACAGTCTGCAGACTGATCTCGCCTCAACCACCACGTACACGGTTTTTTCTCAGCACGGGTCGCACCTCACGGTCAACAAGGCGCCCACTCTGTGGGATGGATGACCTCTAGTTTTGCTCCACACGAGGTCAGTAGTGGAAGAAGAGATAGAAGAAAAAAAAACAAAACAAAGAAGGATAAGAGGAAGATATACAAAAGAAGATGTCGCACATGGATCCCAGAGGGTTGGTTTCATGTGCGACATTTCGTTTCACCTTCTGCCGACGTGACAGTGAGTCTATTTATAATCCCCAAGAGTCCAAGAGTCTTCAAATGAAAATACATTTTTATGCTCGTCTGAGTCAGAATGAGGATTGGAAAAAAAATCTGGATTGTTTTCCTCTATTGCATTATGCATAATTATGTCTCCCTCCTTGAAATAACCCCCAATAAGTATTGATATAAGATTTGGCTAGTGCTTGTTGCAGGCTTCTTCCATTTTCTGTTTATGAGTGCTTTACAGAACAAAACATAAAAACAGTTTGAGCGGCTCTGCGCGACCGTGCCCAATTAACGAACCGACCCTGTTGTGTACGGCCGTCCACAAACAGTGACCAAAGGAAAAGAAGGAAAACAGTTGTTCACACACATATTAACGAATTCTCCGGGAATATCTTGCTTCTCACCTTTTTTAGTCAAATCAGCCATATTTCGAGACAGATCGGTGTAAGATAAAAATCTTGATATCTGTGCCCGAGTTAGCGTCCATAAAGAGCAGCGATGTTGGATAAAATAATAAACAAAATCACGTAATGTCAGTCATGAAACTCATGAACGACTATTTTGGAAATACGGCCGTGGATGGTTTAAGAGTACAAAATACCAGATGATCAGTCAGGACTCAAGTGAACCCCCCCACCCCCAATTTTCAGCGTTAGCCTTAGTCCATTAGCACAATTCTTCTTTAAATTAAGAAACAGTTGCTCTGAAAATGGAAATGAAATAACTGCGTCGACAAAAATAACTGTCTCGTTTATTATCTAAAACCAGAGTACATGTACACGTAAATATTAAAACAAAAAGAGTATATAATTAATGACAACGAGTCAGTAATTTATAATGGATTCTACTTTCTAAATCAAAAGTTGTTTGGTTTCAAATGAGAGGCATTTTCGTTTCTTTGACACCCAAGAAATGCTGGAAAATTCCAGGAAAATGCATTGGACACTACCAAGCACACACTGTGCGAAAGGGCCTATTCGTAATTATTAACTTTATAAGTCTGGAAATTTCTTTCTCTCTGTTGGAAATACAAGGTGTTATACCTGCAACAAACGACACAAGAAGCACTAGTGCTATAGATTTTGTCAGCCGAAAGACAAAAGTGCAAACAAGTGTAAAGTGTTGTCTAAATATGGCTCAACTTACAGAGATATAGTGGTGCATTCTCCTTGATGCCCATCTATATTGATCACAGTGGTGCTCCAGCTGTTAGGAATGGTAGAAACATATGCAAACATTAACTTTATTTTTCAGCCCTCGACAAAAAGTATATGGACTGTGGACCTAGTCTTTTGGAATATTGTCATGCTTGCTTCTTTGACAAACAGACAGACAAACAGACAGACAGACAGACAGACAGATAGATAGATAGATACTTTATGCGCATACCTAAATATGAACAGTCAAATAAGTCGACACAGAAACATACAGATATATAGATAAAAGGAAAGAATGATCAACGAATAGACATGAAGAGTATATATATAATATATCTGTATGTATGGATCTATGAATGAAAAGGCAAATAAAAATGTATATTCTACAATTTGTGCAGACACATTGATTGCAAACATTATTTTGGTAGCTTACAAAGAAGGGAAACAGCTATATGCGTGAGAATAATTACTTGGTATGAATTATCGGCGAATGATGCTCGTTTAGGGGCTGGAGCCATGGGGCGAGACCACTGGAAATCAGTTTGCTCCCTTGTTGGTAAAACGGGAAGTGTTTTCTCTCTTGCTGTGAAAGACTTTAATCTGTAGGACAGAGCAAAAAAATAATGTAGATAAGGTAACACTTTAGACCGTTTCTTTGAGCAGAAATAACCACAGTGGCGTAACATTTAAAAACAAACCAGTCTCAAATGATTGACTGTTTATCCAGTAAAGGTCGTGGTATGATAAAGTGGTTGGTTCTCACAGTCCCATACTGTATGTTTGTGTGCACACTTGTTCATGCTTACACTTCTATGGGCCATTGCTCCAAAAACTATAGAAAGACAGAATTTCGTTACTATGTCTTAAGTTCAAAGAAGCTTATTTTTACCAGTTTCATGATCAGAACACTTACTTTTATATCAAAATTTGCCCAAGTTGGTTAAAAAAAAACCCACCCTGAGATCTGTTCTCACACGACCATGCGTGGCATTTAATTAGGTGTTTGAAATCTGTCTTTAATTCGTTCCACCTCGTTCATCTTTACTACAAGTCTGGGAAAAAAATTCCGTAACTGAAATCGCAATTTGTTGCATAAGGAACTTATTTCAGAATAAGAATAAAACAAAACAGAACAAAACAAAACAACTACAACCCCACCCCCCCAAAAAAAAAAAAATTAAAAAAAAATCACGGGTCAAGTGAAAAACAGGCTAAGTCACATTAATTTTACCACGACGTAACCCATTTCCCCCTTTTTAATGATGGGCTTAATTAACATTCCACTTAACTTTTTTTGCTTTAATAGCACTGCAGTCTGTGAGTCACTTTATTTCAATTAACTGCTTTCATAGGGATAATATGCAGGAGCTGTTGTACGTAGAGTACCAGTATCCTGATTTTTAAATTCTAAAAATAAACTCGTTTTTCACTTTACCCTTTAAAATTTTAGTCAACTAAATTGTTCAATTTCAAATTTGTGTTCGTAAAGTAATGGTAATTACCAACAGGGACAGATTAACCATAAAAATGTGTCAACCAGCCCCCTCCTCTCTTCTCATTTTATTATTTTTTTAAAACCATGTATGAAAATAGTATTCCTACTTTGGTCTTTGCGACACTCCATCGGTTCTTGGCAGCTTGGGCAGTTTTTCCGGTACGTCATAGCGGCACGTGGCCAAATCTCCCTTGTGGAGGTCTGATTGTTGCCTGTCTGTGCGTTTGTCGGTGTGTCTGTTGGTACGTCTACCTGTTGGAGCAGTCTGGAGTGCAGGGACTTGCGTAGTCCAGCGCATTTGCAATAGTCCGTAGTTAGTATCACCGGCCGGTCTGCACCAAAATTTTAAAAAATAACTGCAATAAAATCTCACAATTGAAACACGTATGACACGGCGAGAGGGAAAGTATATCATTATTATAAAAAATGTAAACAAGATCTTACGGCTTGGAACAAATCTGTGACGAACTGCAATTTTTCGTTTCTTTTTATAGTACATGTACTCAAAGTCAGTGTAAGAGTAGCTTGTCACGAATGTGAATAAACATTTCATCTTTATTCCCCAAACGCTACACTGAGTAAATGAGCAACAATGGACTCCACTGTTAATTTCCACCGAATTTTTGAAACGAAATGTGGCCACATAAGACATAAGTTGCTTGATAACGGCATTGTCTACAGCGTCCTCCAGTGATTTGTCATTGAATAAGAACTACAAAACACACTCAAATTTTAGAATTGTTAAAAGCAAAGGCTAATCAAAAGCGTTCTACAAGAAAGCTTTTCAGTCTTGTTTTATTCTTGGGTGTTACAGATTTACTCTTCATACATTTGCTCAAGTGCTTCTCAGACGTACCCAAAGACTTCACAGACTTACTCAAGTTCTTGGACTTACTCGGCTTGTGTGCTGATCGTTAGCCTTCCTGGAAGAGCCTCTACTACCCTGCCTCCAGGGTCACACGTTTTTTCCTTCATAAGAAAGTGAAATTTAGAGAGATATATAAATACATTTTGAAGGTGCAACATAGTTAAAAGATTTATTGAAAATATGGAAAGATGAAACACTCTCAAACATCATTTAAAAGAGAAATAACAGCTGCATAGCATATTTTACAACCCATTACTCTCTTCACGAAGTTTCCAAATGTACATGTGTCACGACTCTGTGGAATCAGGCGCTCGTCAATTTTGGGGCACATGGAGTAGTTATTGGTTTCATTTAAACCCTATCCGTACGCCCTGGGGTCATTTTGTACCCCCGCGGTTGTATTCTTCACATTTTAGAATACTTCTTGTACGAAGATCCCTGAAACTTTCAGTATTTCTCAAAAAATCTTTTTGACAGATTGCTACTGCTATTGCTATGCATAGCGTACGGATCGGATTAACGAGTAAAATTCCTCTTTGGAAAGTGGTGACACAGAGTTCCCCAGGTCGTATGGATACGACAGTTAAAGCGACGTACGGATAGCTTATTCAGCTGTCTTGCTTTTGTTAAAAAACAACAACAACCCTTTATCTTGACTCGACATATTTACGTCTGAAGGACTTTGGGGGTCGCCTATCTTTAGAGGTAAATACTATTGTGAAAATGGCCACCAAAGTTCGGTGATTTCCAAATCTTGAGTGTCCTTAGAAATTGCAAATTTGTTAACAATTAACATAAAAGGTGCTGAGTCAAGAGAAAATATTTGTAGAAATTGCCCATTGGGTGAGCAAAATGATTTTTAAAAAGTTATTTCATTATCCAGCGCTGATTTCACCACGAAGCCTTACACTCATACATACCTTTAAAACATAGTTGAGGAACATTATTTTTCAGTCTTAAAACGTACACCAAATAATTCATCTCCCAAATACATGTTTTGTTCCAACTTTGATCTTTTAACGACCTATCTAATTCGGAAAGAGGTATCCTCGTCAAAACCTATTTTCGTAAGAATACATTCTTCCAAAGTAGACAAATGAACCATTATTTTTCTATAATATCATCTCTCAACGAGAAACTTCAATCAGCTGAGATGACTCACTCTGTCAGCCAATCGGACTGAGTACAGAAGTCGAAGTCCCGCCTCTCCCGGCAAAGTGGGCTGCTCAGGATCGACGTACATGATTGGGGGAAGTGTAGGAATTCGAATCATAGGTTCTTCATTCAAATCTTTTTTCACAAAGTCCACTGCTTTGTGGCGTTCTTGTACTTGGTTTGATTCTAAGAAGTCTTTCCATTCTGATTCTGGTAGGAGACATGAGTTCAGGTAGCATTGTGAAAAACGAACACATTTATAAACGGGACGAGAAAAAAAGAATACAAGTACAAGAAACAAAACAGTGAGTTTTTATTTTCAGCTCAAGCAAATAACGTCGAACCGGCTGTTCAACAGCCCCCCCTCCCTTTTCTCCACCCCGCCCCTCTTTTCAATATGTAATACTGGAGAGAATCGAAGTTCTGAATTTGATCCCACTCCTTTTTACGTAAACCAACGGTTAACAGTTACTTTAATTATTAAAACAATCTCTTTAAATAAATTAAAAAAAAAAAAAAATAATTAGTATTTAATTGCAGTCTGGGCGGGGTTCTGGATTTGAACAAGACCGGCAGTTGAGTGTTAGTTTTCTTATTCGCTTTTAGCTGTCTTCCTTTTTTCTTTTTTTAACCACTGACTGCGTGTGCCGCAAGACTGAGTTATGTGTGAGTCCAGCGATTAGTGGGTGATGGTGTGTATATTTAGATTGTTCCACATATTCACAGTCTTTGAGATCGCACAAGTTCCAATTTGCTGTCGCTTTTTTCATTAATAAGAAAAGATAAGATACATCTTTATTGTCCAGATCCTGGCGCATTGGTTTGGTGCTCCACAAAAATCACCATGATTAGATTATTTAATTTACAATAGCCCCCCAAAAAAAAAAAACAAAAAAACAACAACACACAAAAACACACACACACAAAAACCCCCCAAACCCCCATACACACATAACAATGTTGCCCTAAAACTACCGAATTTTGCGTTCTGTTGACCCCAGGTTTTCGGTTTGAACCTACTGTATCCCCCCCCCTCCACTGGAAATTTATGGCAAAGCCCCTGAAGCGACACCCTGTATTATTGTTATGGTACTGTACTTGCTATAAAAAGTGTGCGGTGTTGAGTTTAATGCGCAATTAATTACTAGTGATCATGTAGATCTTTATATTTGTGGCATGTGCACCAAAGTCGAGAAAATATAAGTCTTTTAAAATCGGTAAGCGCATGTAAAAAAGCAGAGCAATTCGCGTTTTAGATTCGGTGAAATGAAGTCGACAAGTTGTCCATTTGGTGTTGCCAAGACTATAGATGTTGTTCATCTGTTAACAGAGAGGACAACAGGTTTACATCTCCTCTGTTCTAGAAAAAGAAACGTACATGTAAGTGTATTTTTGTCTATGGGTCTCCAGAATCTAGGTCTAGTATTTTACTGTCCCCGCAGAATTATGCAAATTTAGGTGGCCAAATTATGCAAGAAAAATACAAAATTATGCAAAATTTATGCAAGTTACCGTAACGCCATTCACGACACTTTTGGCACTTTTTCAACAGAAGAATTGGAAACAGAACATATCAGTATCAGTAATTTTGTTTGGTATTTGGAAAGAAAACAAGACACATCAGTCAGAAAAAAAAACAACCAAAAAATATAATCTCTGTAACTTTCAGCTGTATAGAGGAAAGAAAAATGTAAAAAAAAAAAAAAGACATCTAGACCTCTGATGCTGGCATGTCACTAAAACCAGGGACACCTGTCAAACATGAAACATCAGCAGACATGAAAACAACTTTTGATGGATTAAAAAATTGAACAGGCTCAAGGAACAAAATCCCTAACCCTTAACCCCCGAACTCCATAGACCTAACAAGGGAAATAACCAACTTGTCACTTAAAAGAGACTTACTACTGTGATTACTTCCCTTTAGTCACACGGCGAGGTGTTAATTTTTAATGTTTTGTGAAAAATGCACAAAATCGTGAAAAAACGCGGGGATCCCAAAATTATGCAAATGTTGCAGAATTATGCGAAAAAAAACAACAAAAAACGGCCGCGGCCGCACAATCGCATAATCCGACGGGGACACATTTTATTTCATGCTCTCAATTTAGATTTAGTAGTAGTGTTTTCTCACAAAGCCCCCCCTCACCCTCCCCCCCTTCTCTCTCTCATACATACACACACACACACACACACACACACACACACACACACACACACACACACACACATACACACACACATACACACACACACACATACACACAGGCACACATAATCCAAACACACACACACGCACACACACACATCCAAACACACACACACACACACACACACACACATGTGAATAACAGATAGCTTTTGTATAATGCAAATTCCTGCTCAACAGCAAGCTCTATGCACATCACAACCTCAACAGACCTGGGAGCTTTCTGAAGCAACTGAACTTCCTGGGAAACATACAATTAAAGCGGCCATTTATAGGCGCTAAAACACTAACATACTGAGAAGATCTTTCGCTGTCTAAGGCCAAGTACACGTTCCCACATGGGTGAAGAGAGAAAAATCCGTGTAAAGTGCTTTTCCCAAGGACGGAACGTCGGGCCCGTGGCTCGAGCCCCTGAACCCGCAACCTCATGATTACGATTCCGGTAGATGAACATGCTCACACACGCATACATACCCATTTGTTAACATTTTGATATGATCATTGACCCAACCAAGCTGTACTATGAACCGTTGTGACTGCAACCGACTTGTGTTTCGCGCGCTCACATAGGCCTATTATGACCCTCTGCAGTTTCGAGCGCCGTAAAACTCTTACTAAAACTGAAACTAAACTTGGATATCACACAACTAATGAAAAAGTCACCGGACTATACAAAGACTTTCTGACTTCAGTAAAAAGAAACAAACTAAAGCGGAATAGGCACATCAAACAATCACCCTGATTGGACAAAATGAGTCTACAGGGAACAACAAATGGAGGGAGACGGAGAGGCAGATAGAGGGATCTATGGGAAAACATTATAAAAGAGTGGGTTGGCAGTGACTGGAACATTACAAAAAGGAACGTTGAGAACCATAAGAAATGGATGAAGCTGGTTGCAAAATCTACAGTAGTATCCTATCTGTCAGCCAGACTACGGGATTGGTGGAAGTGAAGGTAAAGACTCTTCTCCAACTTTGCGTTTGCGCGTTGTAACATTTGGAACCCAATGTGTGACGCTTTTCTCTTGTCGGCGACCAAGCCCAGCCTCGGGTTAGCAGAAGGAGGAAGCACAAAGCTCCGAATGTTGTGAGTCATGGGGAGCCGGGTTCAGTGTGTGTCTGGGGTGCTCATGTCCATACGTGTTTATTGTTGGGGGCACTGAAGACGTTTTTCCAGCAGGGACATGGTCAGTAGGATTGGTCGTTGCTGCTGACTATGATTGCCGTTTTTCCTTGAGAGTTGGTCCTTGGTTGGGGATCTGGGTGGACGTCTTGTGTCTACAAATTGGTTTTGTTTATTATGCTGGCGCTTTCTTGGTGGCAAACAGTCATTACCCCTATCGTCACTTTAAAAAACGCCCTAAATTTGTCGTCAGTGTCTCGGGATTTGTAAAAATTAATCTGTTCCAACCTTCTTTCGCTACTTTCAGGTCTCAGTCTACTTGCATTTGGGAATCTTTGTAACTTGAGAGGGACTCTCCGTCGTCCGACGAGGAAAACATCTATACGCAAAACAGGTCTCCCCGACGTCATAAAAGTCTGCCACTGGCGTGACAATAAGTGGTGTGGGTACATATACATATGACCCTTTGTTTAAGACTCAAAAACTGCGTGAACCCCACAATATCATTGCGGGATGTTAATTTTGCTCTTCAATCTGAATACGCCATGTCACGATCGTCCCTGGCGTGAGGATCAAACAGGTAGTAAGCCTACTCAAATTGTCCCTTAAAATAAAATCACAAAGTATGCAGGTGGACGCATTCCAAGCGCGACCATGTCGTACTTGTTGACGTTTGGGATACTGTTTTGAAAGACTCGTCTCGATGAATAATGGATCCTCACTCTGATTCACCGAAATTCACACTGTATTGTTATCATTCGATCAACGCCTAGGAGCGAAAGTCAGGTTGTATGTTCGAGCACAGTCAGTCCCTATGTTTAAGAATTTTACCCAAGAACTACAGTATTTCTATCGTAGAACTTAACTCTTTTATGTTTATAATTGCACTTTTACTTGCGTTGTAGAATGATCTACGTTTCACCCAGGAGGTTTTAACCGGAGTGGGAACCGGCTTTGGAACCTCTGCGCAAAACCGCCATTTGACGGATCGGCGCATCATCCACATCACGTGTGGTTAAACTGCAGCTTTAGAAACAATGGACTTGAAAAGAAAATCTACCACAGCTTGAGCTGATATACTTCATCAGACCCAGCACCGGGCACTTGGCTTCCCTCAACTTAAAAAAAAATTCTTCAGGAATGACCCAAGTAAGTTACTAATTTTTTAAAAATCACTGAGTCCTTGCTTGCTACAAATGCATCAAATTTTGGTAAGCCCTTTCCTTCACCAGGGAATTTGAATAATCTTTCGATTTTATTTTCCAAACTCTCATGGGATCTGTACATTTCAATGAATTGAAGAATTTTCTCTTTCGACCAGGTTGCCATTTTGCTGTATGTTTAATTGTGCAGCTTGTGCAGACAATAAAGTGTATTCATTACTGCACATTGTGACTCAGAGGCCAACCCTGATCTGAAACCCTTTCTGTTTAAGTGAATGCATAATATAATGTCTGTGGATTTCTTTTATAAAATCTCTTGAAATTTTGAAAAACAGCAACTTCTGCGCGAATCATGGGTCGCTCGTTTAAAAAATGTAGTCCGATTTTTTTCTTCTGTGCTGTAAATCATTGTGAAGATAATGGCTGTGACAAGATAAGCCGGCTAAGCCCGTGACGTCAAATAAAGGCTTTCATCAACGAAACATGCGGACTGTCACCAGAAAACCCACATGTCAAAAGCACTGGTTCGGCCTCCCGATTTAACTTTTTCTAGACGTTTTTCATCCCCATCTGCCGTTCCGACGCCAGGTTTGCCTTTCCATTCCGAACCAAGAGTTTGGAACGTAGATGTGTAGGGCTCTAGGGAGTTATTGTAAGCAACCGTTTGTATGATACGTCTCCATCCAACCAAAATTTATTAACTTTTTTTGGGGGGGGGGTTAGTAGAGGTTTTACGGCGTTCACAACTGCATAAGGTCATAATATGAGCGCCAAAATTTATTAACTTCTCGGTCGTAAGTCTACAAAGGACTGTATTCAAAGACAGTTTCCTACGAAGTCAATTTACATCTCCAGCAAACTCTTCAATATCTTCGTATTTAAAAAAGACACGACAAACAAAACACCATCTAGACAGACGCAGGACATTTTACGCTTTCAATTTATGCCCCCCCCCCCCTCCCAACGAAATTGCTAAATTTTGACATGCAACAGAATGCAATGCTGCCTGAGTTTCCCCAACGCTATCTAAGAAAGTAATAACTAACCTAAAAGAACAATACACTTTTATGCTGTTAAGAAAGGTATAAGGCACACTTTGTATAGTAAATTGGAAATGGCTATTCGTCCGGCGGACAGAGCAATAATCAAAAGCCTATATATCAGGCTGCCGAAAGAATGTTCCAGAATGTTGTAATTTGGAACAGACATAACTAACTCAAAACCACAATGCTATTGTTTGGGCATTCTTCATATCGAGTCTAGGCTAGAATCTAAAGCGCAAAATTTAACACCGCTCTATCGGTTGGAACGAAATTCTATTCATTTGATGAGCTAAATCGGGTGGGGAAGCAATTTGAGGAAGACAACTGTGTAAATTTGAACAGGAAAGAAAGTAGGACAATCATGGCTGCAGCAAAAAGGTGTCCAACACACACTCTTAACACACACGTGCTTGATACATACTTAACAAATGGACACAGCTGATAATGAAATAGAAATACGCCAATACAATCCAGTTGAGTGAACTAGCGGACTTAGCTATATTATCAGGTAGATCTAACGACAAAACAAGAAGCAAACCAATTTGAAAAGTAGCCAAGCCTCATTCGGAAGTTCAAATACCGGCTTGTTACTATATTTTGTATTTTTGATTTGTTAGATAACGTAGATAGCTAGTATACGTTCAATAACGTTACAGAACGTAGACACTACCCAACCAATAGTATTTCGGCCATTCTTTTGGCAGCCCGATAAGTAGGCTTTTGACTATTGGTCCGGCAGCCGGACGAATAGCCACTTCCTAATTTTAATTGCTCTTAAAAATTAATTTCAGGACCATTGTCTGTAGCGTAGCGCAGAAGATCTGAGATCAATAAGTTGAGTAACATTAGTCTTTCTGCTGGGACAGGGAGGGTTAAAACCGGCCTCCTGAACTATCTAAATCTGCCATCATTTTTAAGAGTACTTGCTTTTACTTTTTCATCCTCTGTTGCCATTAAGCGTCGAGGGGAGATGCAGTTTTCTATGTTAGGCCAGCTCCGCAGCTCTTTCAGTTGTGACGTTATGTTTTCTTAGGGTTTCCTTGACACCTTCGATCCACCTTTTGCGTGGCCTTCCTCTTCCTTTATAGCCTGAGTGCTTGGTGTTGTAGGCTCTCGATCCTGGCTGGTCAGGTGGCCAAACCATTTTATCCTCTGTTTTTCTATGTAACGCAGACAGGACTCAGTGCCGATAGCTGCTCTTACTTCTTCATTACTCTGCCTGTCTCGTCCTGTGATGTCAAGGATTTTGGGGAAATATTTCATTGTGTCTGTTGAGGTCCATCCCTCTGGAACCAGGCCTGTACAGCATAACACAATCTCCCCAAACTTCTACGAAACCTTTTCGGCAGGTTTAGACAGATCTGTCTAAAATGTGGTTTTAAAACCCTTGTCGTGAAACCAGAACAGGCCAATCATGCCTCTGTAGATGAACACCTGTTACAAGAAGTAAAATTTTGCGTTTTATCCAAGTTAGATTGAAGTTTTAAAACTTGACATTTCTCGAACACAGAACTAGATTGATTTTCTTCATACAAACAAAGTTGACGTCCTCATGGTTGAATTTTGATTTTCAGAGTTTTTGTTGACATTAGTATAGTGATGACAGAGTTATTGTCCTTTAAGTGGGTCCTCTTTTTTAGACACCCTGTATAGCATGATTAAATAAAACACAACGGGATCTCCTCGCTGCTCCGCCTGTTTTATTACGTTTGAAAGTTACTCCAAAAGAACTTGTAAAAGACATCATAATTATGTTTGGTATTACTTCTCACAAAATTGTACTTGCCTACGTAGTGCAATCTTCGGAAGAAGTGAGTTTCATTCCAATGCAATGAAGTTAGTTTTAACAAGTATTCTGTCTTTATGATGAGATTGTTTGTCCTTACTGGAACGGGTTAGCAAAAGAATTAAAGCAGCCCGACTCCTTGATTAACTAAATTATGTAAATTGGGGTGAACAATATTTTTTAAAAAGCATTAAGAAAAATCTCTGTGCCCACAGTTGAATTTAACCTTCGCTTGAGCAAGCCTTGAGTGAGATACCAGTGTTGGATATCGGTGTGGGGCACCTGTGTGGAGTACCTGTGTTGGATACCTCCGTGAAATATCTGTGTGGGGTATCAAGCCAATATAATCCGGTTGAGTGAACTGGCGGACCTAAGGGGCTTTTCAAATATAATCTTACACTTTTTGGGGGACCTTTTGACCCCCCCCCCTTCTTACACTTTTCTTACATTTGCCCTCCGTCATAATACATTGTTCGCTTAAAATGCTAATAATATGATATTTATATGGCACAAATCCGTGTTACAATCATTATTCTATGCGCTTTACATAATATTCATGAAGAACACGAATATGTTCCGCTTAAGTTGCGCTGCGCGTTTTAACGATCGTATAATTGCGCGGCAATCTTAAGATTGCGCTGACCATTTTAACGATCGTATGATTCACTTCCATCTTAATTTTTTTACTCACATCAAAGAACATTAACGTATATTTTCAAAAGTGCAAAAATATGACAATTAAAATTAAAATTAAATATGAAACTGAAGAGCTCACAAGAATGATACAATTATATAATCGTTCAAACGCGCAGCGCAATCTTAAAATGGCTCCACAATCTTAGGATTGCCACGCAATTATACGATCGTTAAAATGTGCAGCGCAGTCTTAAGATTGGAAAATTGCGCAGAACTAATACACAGATGTCATACGTATGCACATACATGAAGTTCTACATTTACACAAAAATAACACTGACCATTCAATCAAAATATTGCTTACACTCTTTCTTACTAATAAGGAAAACATTGAGACTCATATCAATTTCAAAAGCGCCTTAATTGCAAACAAAACAAATAATAGTGGAAATCGGAATCGAAAAAAAGTGTTGACTTTGAGCAAGTTTGTCTTTATCCATTGTACTACTCGCCATTAAAAATTGAAGATGACAGCTACAAAATTACAAAATACCTGGAAACAAGGTGTTAGCTCAATTTCAGTGAGTATAATTCTGAAGTTGTCACCAAAACAAGATATAATGAGTGAACAAAGTAATTGGAGCTGTTTACACCACTAGCTCAGGACCTAAATATCTCTTCTTAAATGATTTCATCTTGGGATTTAGCCCAAAATTGTTGACTTTACGCAAGGTTAACACTCAAGCGGTTGACTGTACATGTATCAGAAGCACAATTACTTAAACAAGAAGTTTCTTACGAAACGGGACCAGAGTGAGGTGTTGACTGTGTAAGCAAGAGTTGACTTTATGAGGATTCCACAGTATCTGTTATTACTGATAATTATGCTTATAACAAAAAAGTGAAATAAGTTATAATCAACAAAGGCAGTGTTCATTATTATGTCAAAAATATTTTTTAAAACAGGGGCATTTGCAGAGCTGTCTTCCAAATATGGGTCCTGTTCCAACTTCCTCTGTCTCCTCTTCCTCCTCTTCTTCCTCCACCTCCATTTCTTCCTGTGTAAATCCCTGTACCTCTTCAATACTGCAATACTTGGAAAATATTTTCCTCATTCCATGCGGCCTCTGCACACCATGCAGCCTATCTTGACCAAGGCCACCAATTTTGTCCTTATTTGCTCACCTCACAAAAGTGTAATATTACATTGGTTCAACCCCCTCCCTCTTACACTTTTCTTACCGGAGCCAACCCCCCCCCCCCCTTACAGGTGTAAGATTATATTCGAACAGCCCCTAAGCTATATGATGCGTAGATCTAACGACAAAACATGATGCAAACCAAGTTGACACAAAAAGAACGATTAAAAAGTAGCCAAGCCACATTCGGAAATCAAAATACCGGCTTGTGTAGTGGAATAACCACTATCTGCGAAACGTGTTTGGGACAGTAGCATGGAATACCAGTGTGAGACACCTGTGTGGGATACCTGTGTCGGGTACCTCTCAGGAGAACGTCAACGATACTGGCTACACAAGTCATAGAGATCTTAAAGCACTTTGTCTCCTTTTGAATCGGGAAAGGATTTATTCTCAAACTAGAGCATACACGTCATATTATTGCTTTTTTCCCTTTTGTTTTCCATACATATTAGTGCCATTATTTTACTTCTTGATTGAAGGACGGAACTTTCTTCTTAAACGTATTTTAATTTCGACATGATTCTTGGTTCACCAGAGATCTCGAAGTAAAGTACATAAGTCTTTTAGTAACTCTTTGTTTTGTGGAAAGCATTAAAATAAATCAGAATAACAAATCATGTTTACAACTTCCTAATAGACTAATTCAGATGAGAAAGTCAGACAGGTTTCATATTAGCCCACTCATTCTGTTCGGATAAAATCTTTGAACTGAAAAAACCCATCCACCAACCAACCAACCAACCAACCAACCAGGATACATTCATTTTTACCTTTCGTTTCTGGATTTTGTAGATTAGATTGGGATTTGATAGGAGACAACTTTGGACGACCTTGCTGGTAGAGTGAGTCACTGCCTCCGTAAACTGTTTCAAAAGAGAGGCAAAATTGGTTTGGAGGAGAGTGGCAAAAAGGTGTAAAACTTAATGCACATGTTTCGTTCTTGAAATGTTGTAGTCCTGTATTATAAGGGCTGAGAAACAGAACAGAACATTCATGTCCGCGGCTTGCAACTTTTAGTACTGTTTGACCAAAAGCAAAAAAATCGTATCTAAAACGTTTTATTTTTGTCTTACTAGATTTACAAGTGTTTGGAGTTGCATAGACTAAAGAGGAAATTAAAATCAAAAGTGGTATTTTCCCGCGATAAAAAGCCCATCAACATCTCGAATGGAAAGGTTTAGAGAACAATAATGATAAACAGGGCCTGACTACAAAAAGTTAATGAATTTTAATACACACAGTTACATCCCTTGGTGGACACGATTTTGTTGCTTGCGTCACAAATAAATAATATAACATACCAGTAAACTGCCTCAGTTGATTAACAACTCTACATGAAAATGTACGCAGTTGACTGGGCCACTGTAACGCTGCGTGCAAGGTCGGAAAAACTTACAGTAGAGAATGAATTAGTAGACCACAAAAATGTCAAGAAAACATCCTTGAAAATAGTACACGTACCCTCCTTCCCCCCCTGTCTCCTTCTTATCATGTTTACAAATACGACTTAGCAAAATAAACCCTCCTCCAGTATAAGAGACCCCAAGGAAGACAAATCGGAAGACAGACAGATGTCTCCTTTATTAAACAGTGAAGAAAACAGGGTCTGTCTAGGATTTACGTAAAATTGTACTAAGCGAACGTACGTTTACTCAAGTGTTTAAAAAACAGGTGCATTTCGAGATGGACAGACAACCAATCAGGCAGTGGGAAATACAACCACGGTAAAGGACTCTCTACAATTAATATTGTGTCTCTTGAACCTATCTTAATTGTAACCATAACCATACCGTGTGAGGAGACCTCAGAAAGCATGTCCTTTCCAATGCCAGAGTCGCCGACACTGACACCATCTGGTACCTGCCGAGAACAATGACAAAGTGTAACTTTTGGTGGTCCACCAAGAATAGTTTTTTGCATTAATTTTAAGAGTAAAATGTCCTTTTCAAACCTGTAAAATTACTTTAAAAGCCGGGGTTTTCTATTTGAATCTTCACTCCTAACAGGACAAAGGCTAGTACGCTTTATAAACAAGTAACCTAAATTCAGCCTCCATTCAAACTTGGGTCACAACAGCCCAGCATGATACCTAACTAACAGTTCTTCATTTCCTGTTTTCTTTAATGATACTGTGGTTTGGGTTTAACTGACTTAATCACTGTCTAGTGCCTAGCTTGTTGTTTGCTCTTTTGTTGTTGCCACCTGGGTATTGTTCCACTTAATGTGCTTGTTTTTGCTGCCATTGTTGATGCACGTCTTACTTTTATCATTATTCTCTTAGTTGACGCAGTTGCAGACGTTGGTGATACTGTTGTTATGTGACTTTTTGTTTTGCTAAATGTGCTAGTGTAAATTCTATTTGTGTTTTTAGCGATAGATAATCCGCAGCCGACTTGCTAGGTCTCTCGCAGTTTCAACAGAGGCCCGTTAGCCTGCAACTTTTCGGGGTGATCCGGGTTCTCCTTCACGGTTAGCGTGACGCCTCGGTGGCTTAAAGCCACACCGTACTTCGTTGAACCCAGCAGTCCCCCACTTTGTCCAGTTTCCACCTCCCGGGACGTGGACCTGGGGTTGGGCTTTTCGAGAACAGCACAAGTACAGAAAGAACGTCAGAGAGACTCACAGAATGGTTCGAGATAACATCCGGAGTAAGACAAGGTTGTGTCCTATCACCACAACTATTTATCATATATGGATAGAATTACAAAAGAGGCCAACACAGAACCAGACGCCCTAAATGAATTACTCTTCGCTGATGACCAAAGCCTGGCTTACAAAGATGAACGAGGTTTCCAACACCACACCACCAGATTAAACGAAGAATGTAACAACTGCGACATGAAGATCAACATCAACAAAACAGAGACAATGAAAGTAAGCAGAAAGCCAGAACCACTCAGGATACACATCAACAACAACAGTCTCAGACAGGTCCAAGAAGTATATTCGGAAGTATATTCACAGAGGATGGGCAACTGAACACAGAAATTGAAACCGAGTACAAAAGGCCTATAACGTTAGTTACCAGCTTACTCCACTACTGAAACATCCGAACATCCCCATGACAACAAAATTCAAAATGATCAACACCATATCCATCCTAACACTCACCTATCAATGCCAAACATGGACCACGAACAAGACATTAGAGCAAAGAATTACAACACGTGAAATGCAATGCCTTTGAAAAGCAGTAAACAGGACCTGGCGAGACGAAATTAGAAACTCTGTAATCCGAGAAATGGTGAGCACAAATGGAGTCAGGCATCACATCCAGCACCAAAGAATCAAATGGTTCGGACATCTCCTACGATTACCAACACGCAATTTAGCACAACGTACCTACATCCAAAAATTCGATGGCAACAAGGCTAGAGGGCGACCGAGAAAGACCTGGATAGATGGAGTCAGGCAAACATTAACCAGCCACGGCAACCCCCTGACCCAAGCTCTCCGGTTGGCGACAGAGAGACGTCTCTTTCTTCCCGCGACACCCAAAAAGTGTTTAAGCGGCGGATAAACGTAAAAGTAAGCTAGTGTTAAAAAGAATAAAGTAAAGTAAAATTGTTCCCGTATTCGATCCGGACATTCAGGATAGCCGTGTTAGTGAGACAACTTCTGGGCCTTCAGCATATTGTGGTTGGGTGGCCTTTCCACGCCACCTATATTTCCCCAACTCGAAGTCAGGTACCTATTACTGTTGCGCGGGCAGGGGGGTGCGAAAAAAATCCGTGTCCAAACCAAGGCTCGAACCCGGACTTTCCGCTTCGGAGACGAGCACACTAACCACTCCTCCACCGTACCCTCTGCTAAAAAAGAATATACACTTGTATACAATAATGAGAAAATTAATAGATTTCTACACCTCCAATTCCCTATTGGTGCCCCAGGCGTTTTACAGCAAGTGAAATGAGTAATTCGGACTCATGAATCCATGTGAATTCACCTATAACTATAAGCACACGTTGACCCACAAAGACAGCCTTTCTCTCTCTCTCTCTCTCTCTCTCTCTCTCTCTCTCTCTCTCTCTCTCTCTCCCCCCCCCCCCCCCTCTCTCTCTCTCTCTCTCTCTCTCTCTCTCTCTCTCTCTCTCTCGCTCGCTCTTTCTCTTTAGAGAAATTATCGTATCTCGGTCTTCCACCTCCGGTTCCGACTGGGCCGAATTGATAAATGGGTTTGTGCAAGTGTGTGTGTTTGCATATATGTCACTGGTCTGTCTGTCTGTCTGTCTGTCTGTCTGTCTGTCTCTGTCTCTCTCTGTCTCTCTGTCTGTCTGTCTGTCTGTCTGTCTGTCTGTCTGTCTGTCTGTCTGTCTGTCTCTCTCTCTCTCCCTCTCTCTCTCTCTCTCTCTCTCTCTGTATGCATGTTAACGTTAGCGATCAGTTTTGATTTTTCTTTCTTTACAAGACGCCTAAACTCTATACTTAGCGAAGCTGACCGCAAGTTTTGCATCCGCCAAGTACATGGCGGAAAATCTGCCCGAGAAGCAACAAGACGGCTAACTTGAGGTGTGTGTATTGTTTCTCGACTCATCCAAAGGTTTTTAGCATACTTGCAAAGTGCAGGATAGACAAAAAATAGTACAGCCTTGAATGACAAACCTTGCTCAAACAGACTGATTATGATGTCACATCTGCGGAATCGTTTCTTTCTTGCAAAAGTAACTGCTCAAGGCATGCAAGGAGTACATGAATATGCTTCTTTCATCAATGTGAGGCGCCGAGTAGTTATCCAGGACTTAAAAACAAGAACGCCTTATTTAGAATTGCTATTAACGAATCCGCGACAACAGCACTGTGCGCAACAGCACGGGGAAAAAAATCAGGACCTCATCGTCATCCAACACGATAATCCTGCTTTCATACGCCCATGTAAGGAACAAAAAAGTCTCTGGAAGATCATAACAAGAATGTCATGGACTGACCAATGTTCGTACTGGGGATGTCTCACACAGTGCGCATAAGGGGTGAGCTGAACCGGCAAGTGCGTGCAAGAGGCCGTTTTTATCAACAGCTGTGAGTGTCAGAATTTTTAAATAAAAAGTAAAATGTTATAAAATCCACGTGAAAACGTCTTCTTGTCTTTATGCATGTTGATGATGGCCATGCAGTTTACTAAGAGTGAGAGATCTTTATTAAGTTTCAATTTATTGCTTTTCTGTAAATTTGTCTAGAGGGGGTACTCCGAAAGAAGGAAGACAAAGTATCGAAATCATTTGCAGTATGTGATGAAAATGGTCCACATTAAATTTGTAGGAAATTGAAAAAAACTTCAGAAAACACTTCTTTGAATCTATTTTCATTTGTGTCCCTGCCAGTGATATCAAACTTGTGAAGGAAATTTCAAAACTGAGTTAACATAATCTTCAAAATGTATCACCTTTCCCCAACAATAAAAAAAAAGAGTGAAGTAATTATGACAATGTTTGACGATAATACGGAACTTTTAATTGTCCGAGGTGAGGAAACACGAACAGGAAAAATTGGCCTCCAAAGTTGAGCAACATGTTTCCATAGCAACGGAGGTCTTAAAATTGAGATAGAGACTTGAAATTTAGCAGTTATCTTAGCTATGCTACTGCATGGTAACACACAGAAGTAGAAACTTATTTATCTACAGAGAAAAAACTTGTGGACAAAACAAAGTTTTCACGAGAATGGAGTTTACGTTAAATGCAACAAAATGTTAGCATTATACTAGGTATCAGGTACTAAATTTTCAAAGTAGCTGTATGTCAGATTTATCTGTTTCATATGAAAGGCCCATGTCTCCTGAGAATTTTGGTGCCACACGTTTACATCTTAGTCAATTTATGGCAGCTGTTTCCATTTAACATGATAATCAAATATTTCTGAAGTCGCTAACTAGCTCCAACCCCACGTTTGGCAGATAATAAAAGAGTACCAAGTGCACAAACGTCTCTACATTAATAGAGTACTAACTCTTTACCAAAGAATTGAAGCAAAACTTTTTTCAAGGGTTTGAGATAATTACAAATCAGTATTTTATCATCTCAAGCACGATGATCTGTCGTTATTTCAATAAAAAACCGAACGTTGTCCTGCCCGGCGTCGAACCAGCCCTCGTGGCGAGGCGCTTTTCCCTTTCGTCAACCCGCAGCCACTTCCCGAATCGTCAGCCACATACCAAACTTTGACACGGGTCAAACTTGCATCTATTTATAGGTAGTTACCGGAACATGTATAGGTGAAGTGATGTGCCGTGATAGTCGCAATATATTATTTATTGAGATTGTTTTGGTCTCTCTTTACTCATCACCACGAGAATTTTTTGAAGTTTTTCCCAGGACTCAGCCTTTACTATAATCTCGAATCTCGATCTCGATCTCGATCTAGAGTTGTAATCTAGTGGCAGGTTGCAGATTTCTGTTATCCAGTACATTCAAGAGATTAAATAAATTGGACTAGACTCTAGACTCTAGTAGTAGACTCTTCTACTTCTACTTCTAAACCTTCGAGATTACAAAGGCTTGTAAGGATTCGTTTTGTTGATTAAAAGTGTTGTTTAACACAAAGTCTAAAAAGTTAGCAAACCCAACACATTTTTTTCTAACGAAATGAAGCTTAAATTGACTTTTATATTGTCTATAAGAGATCAGGTTTAATCACCTAATCATTTAAGTAAGGAAGAGGCTATCCTCACCCGGGGTGAGAATAAAAACCCTACGATTGACCTCTCACCCCGGATGAGGCTTGCCAGCGTTGGCTATTCTCACCCAGTGTGAAATAAAACCTGTTTTTCCTAATTTCGAAATACTTTCTATCGGTGTGGATGATCAAATTGACAAAAGTAAAGAAAAAAATGGCGTTATAGCACAAAAGTAAGCTAATTTGATCGT